ACACCTCACTTTATATTATATTTTCCAACAGAAACACTTTATCATAAGAGCCGACACTGGGTCCTTTAACATCAGCTGTCATCACTCTGTTTACAGTTGTGTCTGTGACAAATAAATCTTTGAATTCTAATTAAAGCTGGTTGGATCCAGTGTGGTGGAAGGTGTCCCTACTGATCCTGGGTCAGCTGGCAGCAGACCTGAGCGAGTCACGACGAGCCAAATATGTTACCTACAGATCAGGACACAAATTGGACTGAACCTTGTCACTGTTGTCACAACCTCAGACATTACAGCTGCAAAACATCTGCATCAGCAGCTGTAACCTTCACTACCAGTAAACAGCGTCCAGCTGAGGCTGATGGGAGCGTCATTAGTTCTGCAGGTGTTGGTCAAAAACCAAACAGCTGGCCAAGTGAAACTTTTGACCTGATGGTGGCGCTAGATGAGATGTCAGAGGATCACTGCAGTTATAAGGTTTCATCCTGAATCCCCCCTTCCCCTCAGAGAAAAGTGAAGAGAGATGAAATTCAATTGTTGATGATGATGATGATGATGATGATGGTCCTCTGTCATTAGCCCTGTTATCAGTCTGTCAGGCTCTCAGCCTGTCGGTACTTAGCCCAGTGACTTACCCCGGATTAGCCAGCTTAGCTAGCTAACTGCAGCGCTGCAGCTTAGTGGGCTAACTGCAGCCGCGGCTCTATTTCTGTTTCTGTCTCACTTTCAGCTCCGAACAAACCACGTGTTGGACGTGTTAGCTGACACCACTCAGGAAAGGATGATGCCCTTTTGATTCTTCACAGTTTCACCCGGAGTCTTTGTCGGTGTCAGTCCCGTCCTCATTTCTGTGATTCAACGTTTCTTTTTCCATTTGATTCCCAAACACTAAAGCAAAGACAACCTGATTTTAATAAACGGGCATGCCCCCCAACCCACCCACCCCCATCTCCAGTGTTAATTACTCCCTTGTGTATCCTGTTGTTGCAGCTCCTTGATGTTTCCAGACTGAAACATTGGAGCCACAGACTTGAATATTCAAGTTCATAATCTGTACATGAGGAAATATATCTGAGACCTCTAGAAACGTTGTGTTAAGGGGAATGTAGAATAAAGTTGTGTGGATTTGAATGTCACAGAAGTGAGGACGGAGCCTCTGCTGTTTGAGGAGTCAACAGTTGATGTGTGTTTCAATGTGTGTGCAGCTGACTGTGATGAGGCCATAGTACTCAGTAATCCCATCAACACTGAGTTAGTGACAAGCTAACAGCATTAACAGTGTGTGTGTGTGTGTGTGTGTGTGTGTGTGTGTATGTGTGTGTGTGTGTGTGTGTGTGTGTGTGTATGTGTGTGTGTGTGTGTGTGTGTGTGTGTGTGTTTGTCTGTGAGAGAGAGAGAGAAAAGTGGATTTTTATTGAGCTGCTGACATGGCTGCCCCCTCCCCCCATGTCTTTTCTCTCTCTCTCTGCAGTCGTGACTCACCAGCAGCTCATGTGTTTTCATGCTAGACGAACACACTGGAATACTGTGTGTGTGTGTGTGTATGTGTGTGTGTGTGTGTGTGTGTGTGTGTGTGTGTGTGTGTGTGTGTGTGTGTGTGTGTGTGTGAGAAACAGAGCAGTAGCAGCAGGCTAACCTGCGTACCTTTACTTGAGCTTACGTCATTGCTGACTGTGCCGTCATTCAGCTGTCAGTCAGCCGGCAGTCGTGTCTGTGTGCCTCATACATCAGCAGCCGCTACATGAGCTGCTTCTAAAGTGGCCTCCCTCACTTGGCACTGCGAGCTCTGTGTGTGTGTGTGTGTGTGTGTGTGTGTGTGTGTGTGTGTGTGTGTGTGTGTGTGTGTGTGTGTGTGTGCAGCCCGCAGGCACCATTATTATTATCTAAGACACAAAGAGTACCGGACTCTAACTGGCTGAAACATGGTCATTGTGTAAAAAAGACATGGCTCACCTTGAGTGATCCTCCACATATTGATAAAATCATCATCATCAATCAGTTCTTTCATGTTTATCAGGTTAGTTTATCTGGTCACTTAAATGCTGAAGGAAGCTGAAGCACCAGTCACGTTGCCGTGGTTACCTGCAGGTTGATGGAAGGTGGTTTGAGGGTTGACCTGAGCTGTGTTCAAGGTGAACACGTGTATGATTTTATGAGAATAGTGTAACATTTTGGACTTTAAAGGACAGTGACTCATTATCTTCATTGTCATTATGTAAGGCTGCAGCCAATCACTGTTCTCAGTATCAATACATCTGATAACAATTATCTTTAACAGCTGATTGATGGTTAATAAATAAAATGTAATAAAAAATGCCTCATTATTCCCTGAAGTCCATGTTCACATGTTCAAATTACTGTGTTTACCGTTATTTTGGCTTAATAAATAACTTTAATTACCAATCAGTTATCAACGAATCATTTCAGCCTTCGGGTGCTGGTTGGCTGGCTTGTACAGAAAGGATCAATGTACACTCATAATTCTGACTCAGTAATATTTTTGATTTTGTTAATGATAAAATTTCACGTGTTTTTTTTTTTTTTTTTTTTCGGACAGGGATTGGCCTCCGTAGTAAAGAAACAGAATTTGTGTTGTATTTGTTAAGTGTTGATATCAGTATAATTTACACAAACACATTTCATGAATACAACAAATTTAAAGTAAACCAAATTAAAACTGAATAAACAAATTAAACCTGAATCTTCAGAATTAACCCAGACTATATGAAATTAAACCTGAATAAACAAATTAAACCTGAATACATCAATTACAGCTGCTTTAGAAATCATGAATGTTGGATCATATGACAGTTGTTCATGATACACCATTGTAATGAATTAATGAATGAATTAATGAATGAATACTTCCTCTTCTTTTACTCTGAACTGGGGCAAGAGACATGAATGAACAATTAGGAATGCTCTCTCTCTCTCTCTCTCTCTCTCTCTCTCTCGCTGGTATTTTAATTGGTGTGATGGAGGGTCCACACACACACACAACAGGGGGTAACTGGGTCACAGTGCCACCAGGAACTGGTATGAATGGAATCAAACTGGAATGATACTGGGAGAGAGGAGGGAGGAGGGGGAGAGGGGGGGATGCTGTGTGCCAGGAGTTATATAACAGCAGCTGCCATTACACACTGAGCTGTTATACAAGGAGAGAGAGGGGACGTCCATTATGTTCATAACAGAAATAGACCTTTAATTTACTTATAATTGACTTAATGTAGAAACCATTAACGGAGCAGTGGATATCCCTGTCCCTTGATAGGCTGATTAGCGTGTCGGAATGAAAGAAACATATGTCTATCTATATCTACGTCCAATCACCGGTCACTATATTAGGAACAACCGTATAACAGCTTCTTGATCCAGTTATTCAAAAGATAAGGATCTCAGTTTCACGCATATGACAGACCAGGGCCAGGGAGGATGTGTGGTGAGAGCCACGTGTCTGGGGGTGTCTGAGGCAGCAAATAAAGTTTTTTTTGTTGCTGTTTGTCTGGAAATAGCTCCAGCACATAAACTCCTGCCAAAAACCACAATTTTTTCTGCTTTTGAACAGATTCAACAAATGAGCGATAACGTGTTCATCATTGTGTTGATGGATGTGTTGATGCCAGTGTCACTGTCACCGATCACATATTTCCCCTCAGACACATTAAAAAACACTGGAGACAAACTCTACAGGCAACAAACCAAACGAACTACGGAGGAACGATGAGGACTTTATTCAGTCTTCCTCGCTGATTAAATGTAGCTTCATTAGCTCTGAGATGACTCGGATCAATGATCATCATCTTCTGTTTTTATAATCCTGTAGTTATCTTTTTTTCTACATCATGTCAGACATCTCAGCCGTGGCATTCAAGCGTTGCAGCAGCTAAACAAGAGTCTGAATGAATATAATACAAAATATGATAAAAGTCTGCATATACTGTATGTGCAAGAATAAAGTACAGACAGCAACTTAACTTTATTTTATATTGTTTTTAAATGAAACATAAGAACAAACACAGGAGGTCAAAGAAAAAACATCTGCAAATCAAATGAAAGAACCACAGAATATTTTTATTGTCTGTGGAGCAGCGGCGAAGCTGTGAAGCTGAACACTAAGACAAAGAGGGAGAACATCTCTCTTCTTTCTTCTCTCTCAATCATTCACGGCCTCGACTTTGTTCAGTCAGACAGGAGTAAATATGAAGACAGAGCAGAGGACAGAGAGAAGGATGAAGAGAAATTAGACTTTGCTTGTCCTCATTCACCCCTGAAACGGAGAGAGGATGGAGGAGAGGATGATGGAGGGATGAAGATTCACTTCCTTCCCTCCTTCCTGTTCAGTTACATAAAGCTCTCATCACGACGCTGCTGAAATAAACATGAGACCCAAATTACAACCAACGTCGCTCTGACTGACTAAACACAGGCAGCGTTAAAGAACCAAACCGTGGTTTAATGCTTTAGTTCATTAACTGCACGTCCTGGTTTATTTAGTTTTTAGACTGAATCACTTCATTTCTATCAAACCTGCTCAGAGATAATCCACCACAGTCAATCTCACTTTGGTCTCCTTGTTGGTGCGTTCAAGGACGCTCAGACGTCTGAGATTAGAGAGTCGAGGAGAGCAGAAGTGACAAGAAAGAAAATGACGTTAGAGGACGTCAGACCTGATAGAGATGTTCACTTGACCTTGTGCATAGACTGAAACACACACTTCTGCATCATATGAGCCTTTGTGGTGTTGGACTTTGTCGGTCCCTGATACTGGTCGTTGTGTTTTTGAACGTGTGTGTGTGTGTGTGTGTGTGTGTGTGTGTGGGTGTGTCGAACGTGTGTGCCTCAAATTGCTCCTTGATGGACAAATATAAAAATCTTGAGTTAAAATAAATAGAGAGTGGTGAATATGACATAATGTTGGCCACTCAGCTGTTTACAGTCATCCCTCTCATGATGTAGCGCAGCGAGTCTGAGTCTGAACCTGTCTCTGTCTGGTCCTGCAGGCGTCTTCCTGATCCCCTACCTGCTCATCGTCTTCGTCGGAGGAATCCCCATCTTCTTCCTGGAGATCGCTCTGGGACAGTTCATGAAGGCCGGCAGCATCAACGTCTGGAACATCGCTCCGCTCTTTAAAGGTGCAGTACACCACAAAAAAATGTGCTCGTCTCTTTGTGTCTCTTTGTGCTCACAGCTCAGTGACAAAAATCATCGCACAAACTTTACGAAGCTTCGGCCTTTATCTGTACCCACTAAAATGTTAAAATGGGTGGTGATGAGGTGATGACTTGTACCTGAGCAGATGTCTCCTGCTCTGTGAAGCATTAAGTTCCAGCTTCATAATGCGACTTCATGGTTTCTGATTTTTCCTTGATGCTAGAACAAAGAATTACAGGCTGATGTTCGGGTGACACCAGGATAATAACCTGATCACATCATAACCAATCATCTGGAAACACTTGACTTTAAGTTTTCTTTTTAGCATTAGCAGTATATAAATAATGTTTATAGAAGGCTGTAATGCAGCTGAAATCAGATACATGTTGAAGTGTTTATTAGTTCAGTATTTGTTACATATAATTTATTTTATTCCAACTGTTTTACTATGTTGTTTATTAACTGTTAGAGTCTTTAATAAACACATCATTAAACGCTGAGATCTGATTACAGCTGTATTATAATCTGTTAAATGTCTAAACGCTAAATATAGGGACTAAGTTTAACGGACTGAGAGATCCACTTGTCTCTATGAAAACGTGTATTTAGAAAAACTGCATTTCTACCATGAAGAATGAGTTGATCTATTTTAAAATAGTGACCTCAGCACAACAGTGAATTAATGAGTGATTGCATTGTTAACCTTGAAAACCAGCAGGAGAGAGAACATTACAAATCAAGTCAGTTGTGTTTCTACAAAATCCCACATTAGTTTCAGAGAACTCTACAATCTGAGACTCTAAAACTCAAATAATTTAAATTCATATACAAATACTAAACAGTAATTATTATAATAAAGTTCGCTTATGTAAACCAGAGCTACAAAGTGCTTTAGATATTGTGATATTGTCATAAAAAGTAGTAAGTTGTGTTTCCTACATCAGTGCAACAGACACATTTTATCTTTCTATCTTTCATTTATATCTTTAAAGCCACTTCACGGGATAAAAGATTAAAATCTGTCCCTCAGTATTTTTTTTTTTTTGTCCAAATCGTTGTCGACCAAAACCCTCGACATCCCCGCTGAGGTCACGTTGCCATGGTGACAGACATAAATCCATGCAGTAAGCAGTTTAGGTGAGTTTGAGTGGACACATCAGTCTGCAAACACACATGGAGCAGATCTGTGTGGAGGTTTATCTGGAGGTGATAATCTGTGATCCTGCTCTACGTGCCTGCGGACACGGCTGGAAAACTACCAGCAGCACACACACACACACACACACACACACACACACACACACACACACACATACACACACATGCACAGACACACACGCCTCTCTCTTTGCCGCCTAATTCCTTTGTATCTTTGTTAGCTTTACACACAGTTTATCAGAGGTTTGATCTTAACATGGGAGCACATGACTCTTTTTCTTTGCTCAGACTTTCCTCTGACCTCCACACGTCAGAGCTCCACCTTCACATTCACACAATCTGACACAATTAGAGGGAAAAACACCAACAGTCAACACACCGCTGATTCATCTCAGCAGTCGTGGAGCTACACATGCGGAGTTTGTCCTGCGGGGGGCGACAGAGCAGAGATCACAGGCCCATTCAGATCTGAAGGGTTCATCCTGTGGGGAGCAGGACTGAGACCAGGACAAGAAGAAGGTCCATCACCAGAGTCTGGTTCATCTACAGAGGCCAGGATCCGACCTGATCAATGACTTAAATGATAGGAAATTATTTTGACACAATTTTGATAATAAATTAATAAATTAAGGCCGTTTTTTAAGTTAAATGCCAGAGTTTCACTGGTTCAACAGTTTGAACTTGTTAACTTTCAAACAATCGATTATTAAAGACAATAACTGTCAGATTTATTGATGATGAAAATAATAGCTGGTTGCAGCCTCACAGGATTTAAGCGATTTTATAAAATAACTTCACAACAAATGAGCAACAAATACACACTGAAGCTGTTCAGGTCGTAAAACCAAATGGTTACACAGCCTCCCTCTACAAGACCAGGACCAGGAGGTGGAGGGTGGAGGACCAGTTATAGTGTGCAGGTTTAGTCGGCTCAGTGGTTTTGAACTTCAATGTGAACCGGCAGTCAGAGAACGCGTGGTGCTGACACGTGGACTCACAGGAACCAGTTCAGGTGTAATCAGGAGCTGCTGCAGTTCATAAAACCATAAAATGTAGATTAACAGTTGTGACCTAATTTACAAACAGGAAGCGGAGCAGCTCGACCTCACTGCTCCTGAGTTCATGTTTTTCTGTCTCTTGAATGAATCAGTCATTTTTAATAATGTGAAATATGATCACAGAATTGATTTATTTCTTGATCAGTTTACTCTTTAGTTTCCTGTGAAAGAATTTTTCTGCTTTGGAAACAAACATTTTATGAGTGAATCTTTTACTCTGAAGGCTCATATTGTAATTGCTGATATGCTTTTGTTGTTTGTTCAGCAGGATTTAATCAGTACACACAGTACGCTTGGTTTGGTTATTATTTGTATAATAAAAAACATGGTAGTTACATTTTGTCAGTTCAGTAAAGCTTTGTGAGATTTAATCCCGTGTGCAGATTCATTTAATTTTTTCCTCAGTGAATCTTTTATCCTGCACCTGGGAATAAGACAGCCGGGACTTTGCATCATTTTATTGAGTTTACACTGTTAGAGTTAATAGAGAAGTCATGCTTTGGTAAAGAGTAAATTACATCAGTACATGAGATCATTGTGATCTGACCTGGGACCCTGATACATCAAATAAACCTGACTTGTATCCTCTTCCTCAGGTCTGGGTTATGCCTCCATGGTGATCGTGTTTTTCTGTAACACCTACTACATCATGGTGTTGGCCTGGGGCTTCTACTACCTGATCAAGTCCTTTACCTCCAACCTCCCCTGGTCCACCTGTGACAACCCATGGAACACGCCCAGCTGCATCGAGATCTTCCATCACCAGGACTGCAAGAACAGCAGCTTCGCCAACGTCACCGTCGCCGGCAACATGACCTGCGCCGAGCTGGCGGACGCACGATCACCCATCATCGAGTTCTGGGAGTGAGTTCTGGTTCTGGTGGGGTCCTGGTCAGTTAGAGTTGGGTTGGCACATGGGGTCGTTTTTGAGTCAGGGTCAGGTGGGGTTTGTTTGTGTCTCAGGTTCCCTCTGCCATCTTTCTATCAGGGAAACTCAAGCTCGTGTGTCTGTACTCCTTTACTCATCAGCCCAGGGATTTGTATGTGATGTCTCCGTCCAACAGAAGTGTTTCTGTGGCTAAAGATGCGTCTGTGTGTGGTGGTGGCGTCGTGGACTGGACCTTAGTTTTATTTCAGAGCACAGCAGAGACACCTGCTTCGGAAATACTCGGGAACATGAAGCTTGTGTGGACGCTACCACACTAGCACTTCACTACTGAAAAGATATTTGTTTCAGAAAACAGCAACGTTACCACCACGCTGCTGAGAAATGTAGTTAAGCTAGTAACACCACAAAGAGCAGAACTCCATTTTGCACAACCTGTATTAGTGATCAGGTGCTGGTTGGTTGCTGGAACATCTTAAATGTAACATAAACAACTTTTGATACCACCGCACACAGTGAAATTTCAGTGACTGATGATGCTGCTGCTGTAATTTAAATGCAGACAAGCGCTAGAAACAGTCTGTAGGATCAGTTTAGTCCCAGCGAGTGGCCGTGCAGCAATGTCCTCACAGTGTTATCAGAGAACAGAAGTTATGAGATAACAGGTGAGGTTACAGTGGAACCTGCTGCTCAGTCTGGTCATTTGTTATCATCACATCTGGACCTGAGAGCGACAGCTAACACTAGCTAGATCCCGTCTCCCCCTTCCTCAGTTTCTGTGTTATATTCCATGTAATGATGAGCAATCCTCTGAGTGTGCGAGGTGCTGATGACAACATGAACCAGAAGTGACGTCTCGTATCAGGAATGCTGATGGGAAGTCGTTGATGGTTGATAGCTAATACTATGTGGACTTGTCTGACACCGTTGCGCAATAGATGCGCTATCTCTGCAGGTATTATTTTACAGTTGAGGTTTTATTGTTGTTATTGTAGATGATGTTTTGTTTAACCACCTCCTAGTGTAAGTCTCTTGATCCCGTGTGAAACATGGAGGCGTGTTTTCAGCCTGACATCAACATCAGTCCATGTGGCAGTGAAGCATCACAGGAAAGACAAAAAAAAAAAAACGGTTTCCCTGCTGAGTATTATTCTGTGTGGGTCTGCTTGGATTTGAATATTTTGTGCAGCCCCTCCCTAAACGTGACGACACAGACTCCGAACTCTGTTACGTATGTTGACCCACTGACTGTGGCAGCAGCTGCTGCACCAACTGTAGCCTCAGTATTAGCTTCTCACACATACTGTTGCAGCTAGATGCGTTAGCATTAGCGAGCTTGATAAATGCCACCATGCACCGCACACATACAAGATTTATTTCTCTGCAGTGGCAGTAAACATAACACATGGGCTGAGATCCGCTGATAACTGAGCTGCAATCAGAGCTCAACACGATTTTCAAGGCCGAGGAACAATCATGGATTTATTACAGTAAAGGTCGCATGGACAGATTATGACACAGTGGACCCTGGTGTGGAGAAGCCCCCTGCCCGTCTTTGTGGTTGTTTTGTGTCTCATTTGATTGACTTTTAAACAAGAAATGTTAACAGAGGCCAAGACCCAGGGGCCCAAGAGTTTAGGGGGGGCAAGGGTGGGGCTCTCTGGCCTTGTTGATGAGGCCAACTGCATTATATATATATAGAGAGAGCCAGAGTCACATTAGTCAGAGTAGTAGGTGTAAGGTTACAGGGCTACTTACCATCAGAGAAATAGCAACATGTCTAGATTTCTTCTTTTTAAACAACTGCATCAAAAGATAATGATAAAAATAGGTAACAGAAAATGAATTGTTAGATACAATATCATTGAATAAGTGCATTATGAAAAAGGTAAACTTCTTAAAGTGAAACCAGAACGTTGGATTGTACCTTGATGATATTAAATTCATTATCACATAAATAAATAATAATCTGTTAGAGCAAATAGACTACTTTTAACTTAATAAACTCACCACTGATCAAAACTACAGGGATCAGCTGTTTCAGGAAAAAATGAAACTAAAGAAAATTGAAATGAAACTTTTATATTTATATAACCAACGAGCTCAGACAACAGACAGAGGAGGGAAGTGTTGAGAGACGGACTAACACATGTATCCTTTATATCTAGGATAAAAGATGCGTATTAGTCAGATGGTTTTACTACAGATGCAGAGGATTATAACAGATCACTCCTTTTACCAAAGTAGAGACAGTTTCTCTGAATGACTTCTCTGCCGCTCTTCAAGGTTTCTGTTCTTGTATTTTGTCTTATTTTTAAACACAAAAATAATGTTTGTTATTCAGTCTGTCGTTCTGCTTGTTTCACTTTTTCTTGGAACAAAAGATGAAAAACAACCCGATTTAAGGAAGTGATAAGACGTTTGACTCTTACCTCCAGTCTTCACTGCAGTTCCACTAATGTCCACTAGAGTCCTGATTAGCTAATTTAACCTCTTCTACATCATATTAAATCTTAAACGCAGAAATATTTCTGGTGTTTATTTGGAGATATGTTATTGACTGGCAGGTATCTCAGCCAATCACAGTCAGCAGCGACGCAGCTGTTGTCATGGCAGGTTATTAACACAACGAGCAGCTAACGAAGTGTAATGGTTCGTTATGTGACTGAGCTCGTTAGCGTTTGAATCTAGAGTCAGGTCAGCAGCTGTCTGCCTCTGAGGAGTCTGAGTGAGGAAGAGGAGGGAAGACAGGAGTTGGTGACTGAATGAAAGAATATCTTCCCCTTATCTCTCCCTTCTTATTAAATGTCACTTTAACCTTTATAATTCTTTTATATATGTGAAACATGGATGTGCACATAGCAGCTAAAGGGCTCCCCCTCTGGACCTAATGAATAAATAATAACATTAATACAATATTGTTGATGTTATTGTTGTTAATGAAGCCACTGCACGTGTCCTTCAGGAATGTATAAATGAGGTGGACAAAGTTACCGTGGAAGGATCCACGGACCTGGAAGAAAAAATGACCCAAAGATCAGTCTGATAAACTTACAAGAAGATTATAAGAAGAAAAACAAACATCCTGATAGATAAATAAAATAGAGAAAATAAATGAAATTGGCTCCATATAGTTTCTTTAAACTTTAGTAGAAGTTAAAATTTTCTGCTGAGAGTCAAACTTGTTTTGGTTTCATCAAAGAGTGTAAAAATAGTAAACTTATAGGAACAGGTCGAGGTTCGGGAGAATCCTCTTGTTGTCTTTGCTGTTTAGATTAATATCACTCTCATGTCTGCTAAGTGCACAGCTGGAGTCAGGACTTCGTTAACCTAGCTTAGCATAAATACTGGGAACAGCTGGCGTTGATGAGTGTGATGTGAAGGTCGTCTTCTCTCTGTGCAGGAACAAGGTGCTGAACATCTCGTCTGGTCTGGATGAACCTGGACACATGAACTGGGAGCTCATGCTCTGTCTGATGGTGGTCTGGGTTCTGGTTTACTTCTGCGTCTGGAAGGGAGTCAAATCCACCGGGAAGGTAACACACAAACATTTAATTGTTTGCTGACCATGTTTGGATCCATCAGAGTTGTTTACATTTTTACACTGTACCAGGCAGCTATTGATTTCTGGTTTCTCTACAACATGAAAATCTATCAGAGCACTTGTATCCTGGTTCCAGAGTCACTGCACACAACTTCGATCTTGTCATTGATTCAAACAGGTCTAGTGTTGTGCTAATTGATCCTAATCCAGCCGCAGCACACGTCATACAGTATACAGTACAACTGAAGTGTTATGGCATCTAGTTCAAAGCACTCACTCCAAAAGTAAAAAAAAAAATCCAAGGAAAAATCTTGTTCAGTTCTTGTTGCCTGTGTGAACAGGTCTGTAAGCACACACACATTCTGCAGTCAGCGATGTGCTGACTGTCAGTTTGTGAAGTGAACTAACAGCTGGGTTCATTCAGTCAATTACATAACACTGCTGAATGTCAGAGGTCACCTGGCAGCTGATTGATCAGCTTCAATACAGTGATACAGTATATCAGTAGATTATTATTATTACTCATGTATTAATGAGTAAGCAGGATTTTATTTTTATAGCAGTCTGAGGTGGAGTTAATATTTTATGTAGAGTTGCAGTTATTATCAATTTCAACAGTTATTTTCATTATGGATTAATATCCTGATTATTTTCTCATTAATCGGTGGATTTTTTGATTTTTAAACATTTTTAAAATAATGAGAAACAAAAACCCAGAACCCAAAGTAAAACCTACAAATCTTTGTTTTGGCCAATCAAATTTCCAGAACTCAAAATTATTATTTTTATCATTAAAATTTATTTATCATCATTAAAAGGAAAAGCAGAAAACCCTGAGAAGCTGGAAGCTGGAATTAGTTGCTAATCAACAAATAGTTTCAGCTCTACTTGTATTTATTGGTTGGTCGTTCAATTTATAACAAAGGATCCTCATATGGTTTAGTAAAGTAATGTAGTTCGGTAAAGTACTTCCCTCTGAAATGTAGAAATATAAAATGGCATCAAATGGAGAAATCAAATTACATTCAGTTACATTATATAATTACCTAATTTGTACTTGAGTAAATGTACTTAGTTACTTTCCACCTCTTTGTTGTGTTTGATGTTCATCACACAGGTTTGGATTTCTTTCTCTCAACTGTGTGTGAACAACTGTGGGACTGTCCCTTTAAAACCACAACATTCAAGTGAATGTAAAGAGAAGAGACTCTAGAGCTCTGTGTGTGTGTGTGTGTGTGTGTGTGTATGTGTGTGTGTGTGTGTGTGTGTGTGTGTGTGTGTGTGTCATTGGCTTGTAACGATGAGACTCGCACACACCACTGTCACATGGCAGGCTAATCGTTACTATGACGACAATGTGTGTGTTTGTGTGTATGTAGTTTAGTGGGGAGGGGGCTGTGAGGTGGCAGATTGTGATTGGCTGTTCTGCAGGAGGGCAGCTCGACTGCAGTGGGACATGACTGAGACACAGAGAGAAATACCCATCATGCACTGCTCTGCTCTGAACCTCATAACTGAGTTTTAATGCCTCACAGCCGCCGACAGCAGCGGACGAAGTGATTAGATTTATGCGGTCAGAGGTCAAAGATCAAGGTCACTGTGACCTCACGAAACACGTGGCAATAACTCAAGAATTCATAAGACAATTATGACTAAGAATATATAAAGATTCATCCCCCGAACAGTTGTCATGAAGGATTAGCTATAGAGACCAAAGCTGTTTTTGTACCAGTCCTTGGGGATGGATGTGCTTTTGGAGCCAGCCTCAAGTGGTCATTAGAGGAACTGCAGTTTTTCGTACTTCAGTGTTGGCTTCATTTTTCAGCCTCATAGGTTGCCACTTGGTGTGTATGCAGCGGTTTTAAATGAGGCCCCAGATCAATAGCCAGTCTGCTCACCTCTGCATCAGAGTGGGTGCTGCGAGTCGATTTGGGGAGGAAGCTCAAGTTCCTGCTCTACGATATGGCAACTTCATTGAGGTCAGACCTGGTGCTCCTCATAGAGCTGGCCATTCTCTGGGAGGATCTTATGGAAGAGACAAATGAGAGGAACCTGTCCAAATACCAGGAGCAGGTGGAGCAGTGCTGCGGGGGAGGGGCAGAATCCAGGATCTGATCAGCCCTGACACTGTCATACACACACACACACATCGCGATCAAGCCTTTACTTGCAAACTGACGAGCTAAAACATAACTGTATACAGTCTTCAGTAGAAGGGGCTGTCTTTATAGCAAACTGGTTTGCAGGGACACTGTATTTTACAGGTCTGTTCTTTTCCCAGTAATTTCTTTAAAGTTTCCTGCACAGAACCATTGTTGGTTGTCATGACAGAAAAAACAGAGACAAAGCTCTGAGACTAGTTTTTTAGTTGGTTAAATTAGTTATGTTGAGTTTATTATTGACTCCATGTGTGTGTAGCTCACCTGCTGTCATCTGAATGAAAGTCTCAGGGTTGTGTTAGCTTAGCATTTAGAAGTAACTGTTAGCACATCGACTGATCACAATGTTTCAGCTGCAATTAGAACCAAACTATATGGTTCATTGTTCTCAGGAGGTTTCTTGGAGCTGTATGAAGGTTTTTGAAGAGCTTTCTCCTCTCTCCTTCAGCTCTTAGAAATACCATGACCTGGAAATAAACTGGAATTTTAAGACCTGTAAAATAAGCAAAGCTTTACTGACCAAGAATGTTCGGTAGATGCTAAGATACAGTACATACAGTAAAGCTGAACAAAGATAAGCAAACACACACACACACACACAGAGGAATGTTCGAGGGCGAGAGAGATTTATATGTTTTTATTGGATGAACTGTACCTTTTAAAGTGCTCTCAGCTTCATGAACAGTTTAGACCCAAGTTCTATGGAATCTCTTGACCCCTTGTGTGTGTGTGTGTGTGTGTGTGTGTGTGTGTGTGTGTGTATGCGTGCGTGTGTGCGTGCGTGCGTGTGTGTGTGTTTTATTGTTGATCGTCAGTGGGAAGCTGAAAGCTGAGCATCAGGTCAGAGCAGGATGAGAGAGGCTGAGACACACTGAGAAAAAGAGAGAGAGACGGTGTCAGTCCACATCACTGTTGGCTGAAAACCTCCTAACTCCACACTGCTTTATTTTCATGAACAGCAGCTCAAGTCATGAACTATAATTAGGATTGAATGAACTTTATTAATCCCCAGAGGGAAACTGGTTTACAGAGACTTAAACACAGGATCAATGACAGGAGGCGGTGGAGGGACGAACACTGTTCCCTGCAATAACAATGAGAGTCAAGTATAAAGGCACCACTCAGATAAAAACTAATAAAGACAGACTGCAACAATAGTGTGCAGACAACAGCAGCATAAGTAGCTGCAGCATACAATGAATTAAAAGACATTTAGTCATTAAACAAGACATGAGGAACAAAAGACGTCTGAACCTTTCAGGATCTGGTTCCTCCTGATCTTCATGAAGGTTCTGTATAAAGGATGCCCGTCCTGTGACAGAAAATCCTGAATTTCCCTCTGGGTCTCTGACTTATTATTATATTAAACCACATTTACACAGCGTGAAAGTGACCTCCAGTGCTCAATGGGACGGTTTGCAGCTGAGTGCGAAGCATCCGGAAGTCAGCACCTCCAAGTCTGAGGCCATGGTTCTCAGGTGGAAAACGGTGGACTGACCCCTCCGGGTTGGGGGTCAGTTGCTGCGGACGTTGTACCGGACCATTGTGGTGAAGAGGGAGCTGAGCCAGAAGGCAAAGCTCTCAATCTACCAGTCGATCTTTGTTCCAAACCTCACCTATGGTCATGAGCTCTGGGTAGAGACCGAAAGAATGAGATCACAGATATAAGCGGCTGAAATGGTGTCTGGGCTCAGCCTTAGAGATAGGGTGAGGAGCTCGGACGTCCGGAGGCAGCTCAGAGTAGAGTCGCTGCTCCTTCATGTCGAAAGGAGCCAGTTGAGGTGCTTTGAGAATCTGATCAGGATGCCTCCTCGAGGTTTTCTGGATATGTCCAACTGGGAGAAGACTGCGGGTAAGACCCAGAACTCGCTGGAGGGATTTCTTTTCCCATCTGACCTGGGAATGATTCGAGATCCCCCAGGAGGAGCTAGAAAGCGATGCTGGAGAGGGGGATGTCTGGAATGCCCTGCTTGGCCTGCTGCTACCGTAACCCGACCCCGGAGACGCAGAAGAAAATGGATGCATGGACATTTATACAGAACCTTTCAATACAAAGTGACAAGCTGCTTTCCTGAGAAATCTAAACTGCAACAATTCAGCACCATCATGAAAAACAATCAGGAAGGAAAGTACAGTGATTAACTGACTGATATAAAGATGTGCCGCAACTTGACCTGGGGGCATTGCTCCGTGTGTGTGTGTGTGTGTGTGTGTGTGTGTGTGTGTATGTGTATAAACTCAGCAGGTTATATCTCTCCTTATTTACTCAGATCAGGTTCATGTTTGCTTTGATCGTGTCTTTGTTTTCATTGGTTTACTTTACCTGATTCTCATAGACTCTACTCACGCTAGGTCATAGGTGTGGTTTTAACATTTTTCGGCAGATTACCAAAATGATATACACACCTGATCTCTGTCTCTCTTCTCTAATTCATAAGCGCACACATATCTGCACATAAAGAGCCTGACATGAACTGAATATGTGTTTGCTGATACAACTCGGCCTGAAGTGAAGTTTGCATCACTGGGGATGCCTAGTGTGAGTGATCTATGAGGCTGGGTCGCCTGAGTGAGAAAGACCCAAAACACCTGTTGACCTCAGGAAACATTATGTTTACATTTATACAATGTAACAGGCGCTTTTATTCAAAGTGATGAGGGACATCCCTAAAGCTTCAGTGCAGTAGGAGACCTTGGTGTAAGTACTAAGTACTACATCTATTTGATAAGTGAAGGAGATCAGCTAAAGAAGTGCACAATAAGGGCTAGTTAGACATGTTAGGTTGTTAGAGGTGGTGCTCTCTGAACAGATGAGTCTTCAACAGATTCTTGAAGACAGAGAGAGACGCCCCTGCTCTGATAGACTTTGGTAGCTTGTTCCACCATCGGGGAACCACAAACCAGAACAGTCTGGACTGAGACTGTCTTGTTTGCAGGGATGGTAATGACAGACTACATTCCTTGTAGGAACGCAGTGGCTGAGAAGGAGCATAAGGCTGAATGATTGAGTTCAAGTAGATGGTGCAGACCCAGAAGTCACTCTGAAGACAAGCATTAGTGATATTGATTCATGGGTAGACAGTGGAGGTCGATGAGTAGCGGAGTGATATGTGTCCTTTTGGGCTGATCGAAGATCAGACAGGCTGCTGCATTCAGGACCATCTGCAAGGGTTTCACTGTGTGTGAAGGGAGGTCCACCAGAAGAGCATTGCAGTAGTCGAGGTGAGAGATAACCATGACCTGAACCAAGAGCTGGGTGGCGTACTGGGTAACATACACGACCAGAAGACGGATGCAACATGGTCAGAGAAGGAGAGCTGGTCATCAAACATGACACGCAGGTTTCTCACGACTTTGGTTGGGGTGAGAGATGAAGAGGTGATTTTGAGATTGATATCATGATGAAGAGACTTATTGAATGGGATGACTAAGAGAGAGCTTTAGTCAAAGGAGACATGTGGGTGCGGTTTGGTCTCCATGGCTGGAGGTTAGCCAGATTTCTTTCTTTTTCCAGAGACCACAGGAATGAGGCGGTGGCACAGTTAGCTTAGCTACAGAGCTGAGTATGGACTGAGTTTAAGTGGTCAGGGTAAATAGGACTGTTTACTCTGTCGGTGGACTTTTGCAGATCTACAGGGCAACATAGGAAGCCTCAGCTTCTATTGATAGAACATGGTCTTAATTTAACACGTCAGGATTTATTACATCAATAGCATCACAAAAAATGTTTGTTTTCGGAGGTGAGCTCATTCACACCATCTGATATCAGTAACAATGCACAATTAATGTGCTGATCTGTGAATGAGATTAATAACAAGTAGCTCATATGTTGGAGCTGCAGCCTCCATGTGTCCTGCGAGGTCGTCTGGTTTTGGCAGAGCAGAGTGTTGACACTGTTTCTCAGTGATTCAGTCGTTCCTCACTGAGGATGTGTCGCAGCACATCTTATGATGTATGTTTTAATCATAACATCACATGAACCTCTGACTCACAAACCTCGACAAACGAATGGACACCTGCCCAGGCACACCCTTGACACACGTACACACTCACACACTGACTTCAGATTAACAGGTCCTTGTTTAAGGTTTTCTGTAAAAAGAAACAAACATCACAATCAAGGTTTTACTCACAAACTGAGGCCCAGTTTTATACAACATACTAACTAGGCCTATATACAGTATGAAGTATAATATACAATATACTATATGGTTAAAGAGATGCTACTTTTGAATTGTTTAAGTAAGTTATTGGACAGCTTATTAAAAGATCATTAAATGTGCTGGTTAATGGTTTTTCTTTAAGAAATGGTTGTCAATAATTTAAGGCAGGTTTTGAATACATTAACGAAATAATTTGAGAGTGTGTCATTGTGTCAAGTCAAGTCAAGTTAATTTTGATTACAACAGTTGTTGGGCACTTTCCATGTAGAGCAGCTTGAGGCTGTGCTCTGTGTAGTATTTATTACACTAATACAACACTCTTTCCCATGAGCAAACACTTGGCAGCAAGAGCAAGAGAAACTCCCTTAGCAGGTAGGAGAGAGAGGGAGAGGGACAGAGAGAGGGAGAGAGCAGGGGGAAAGAAATCATAGCAGAGTGGAAATTCTGCATAGAGATCTATTGTAATAATTATGCGAAGTGGTAATTAATATTATAGCTCCAGTAGTTGTTTTGGAGTCACAGATCCAGACTCCAGATAGAACCAGTTGAATACTTGTACGAGCATGCCGTACTACGATGTTACAATGAAACAGAGGTGTGAATGTGGATTTCTAAATTTAGGAGCAGGAAATTTCAAGACATCCAGCTTTTCCCAGACCTCAAATTTAATGATTTGAGGGGAATCGTCGGTGTGGTTTCTTAAGTAAAGGTTTAATCACAGCAGCTTTAAAGCTAGTGGGGACAGTGATAAATTAACAGTGTTCAGCACTGAAGGCCCAGAACAGACCACTGGTGTTTGGAGAGTTTAGCTGGTGCAGGGTCAAGGAGGCAGGTGGTGGGTTTAGAAGCCAACACCAGTTTAGACAATGAGTCAAGCGATACAGTCTCAAAATGTGAGAGAAGAAAGGCAGAAACTATCTCATCTTTTTACCACAGACCAAGTCAAGAACAACCTGAGCTGTAAAGCTAAGACTCAGCTGCTTCTCAGTGAGTTTGGCTACAGAGTCAAAACGAAGTCTATGATTGTGTTTATTGATACTGATAAAGTCAGAGGAATATGCTGCAGCAGCAAGTGTGTGTGTGTTTGTGTGTGATTCACCTGGAGCTCAGCTCCACATGAAACCAGACCTGGTGCTGTAACTCCATATTGTTTTTGTTGACTCAGAGCAGGTTCATGTTTTGTTTTCTTTACCTGATTCTCACAGACTGAACTCGGTTAAAGGACCATACCACAGTTTCTTCATGTCTTACTCACTGACAGAGCTGAGGCTGTGCAGCATCTAGTCATCTGACAGGAAGTCAGGTGACATAGGCCTGAACTTTCACAGAGGAGACTGGTGTTTGAGTATTGTGTGAAACCAGTAGTTTATGTTGTGTCTTTTATCCATGACTAGACAAACTTCACCACGTTGTTATTTTAGTAACCATGACAACAAAGGTCATCTAATCTTAACAAAGTACTTTTGTTTGGGAGAGGAGCTTGTTGGCTTAGTCATAGAAAGATGGAAGCTGGTTCTTATATTTTCCATCATTATATTAATCCAACCAAAGAATTTGAAATGCTGAAAGGCTGCATTATTAATACACTAACCATACTGAAAATCACCTGTCTCTGTTGTGTTTGACTGATGTTCAGGTCCAGCTCTGTTTTCATTTAACACATTTATTATCAGATAGATAGATAGATACTTTATTTATCCCCTAGGGGAAATTCATGTGTCCATTAGCTCATTGTTGATATTAATAATAATAATAATAATAATAATATTACAACATTAATATATTAATATAACAGTACGATGAAATGCAGTTTAACATTTAACCAGACAGTGTAAACAATGGTAAAAGGGAATATAGAGACATATTCAGTGGTGCATTCAAGTACTCATAGATTTTTCACTATTTTGTGTACAACTGCAGCTAATGATTATTTTCATTACTGATTAATCTGCTGATTATTTTCTCTTTTAGAAATGTATAAAATAGTGACAGATTTGTCACAATGACCCAGAGCTGAAAATGAAACCAACCAACATTGCAAGCCTCATAATTAAAACTCATTCATGTGTGTTTCATAGTAAGATGTCCCTCTGTGTGTGTGTTTCAGATTGTGTACTTCACGGCGACGTTCCCCTACGTGGTCCTCATCATCCTGCTGGTCAGAGGAGTCACTCTTCCTGGAGCCTACGACGGCATCATGTACTATATCAAACCAGACTGGTCCAAACTGGGGGAGGCTCAGGTCAGTGAGTTGTACTGATCAGGCTTCACATTGTCCCTAAGTGGGTCTGTTGGACTCTAACCTCAGGCTCCTTTTCGCTGTGTGATGCTGAGACACAAGTTCACAGTCATGAGAGAAATATGATCAAATCTGTGGGGGTCCTGGAGCCACACACACACACACACACACACACACACACACACACACACACACACACACACACACACACACACACACACACACAAACACACACACACACACACACGCACATACACACACACGAACCAAAGCAATGGAGGTGAAAGAAAAAAAAAAGTTTGTGTAGCAACAAAGACAAACCTCACAGAGCAGCATTTTCAAAACATGAGAGCGATGCCGCGAGCTGTTGATGTGTCTCTGCTGTCTTATGTTTTTCTATTGTAGCACTACGATTCACTGAGCGTTCATCAAACAACCTGACAGCCTCAAACTGACTTTATCAGACCCATCTCTCACAGTGTAGTAAACCTACACCATCGTTGTTGTCGCACTGTCTAAAGACAGCTTTAAACTAAAAACCAAAAGCTTATAAGCCTGGGAGACCAGGTTTAGGGGATAAAAACAATCTGTGATCTCAGTATAACAAATAAAAAGTTCAGCAGTGAAATGACAGACGTTGAGCTGAGCAGTGAACACATCAGACCTGTGACCTCTGACCTTTATGCAGGTGTGGATAGACGCCGGGACACAGATCTTCTTCTCCTACGCCATCGGGCTGGGGGCTCTGACCGCTCTGGGCAGCTACAACCGCTTCAACAACGACTGCTACAAGTACGACACACACACGTCTGTCTGTCTGTCTGTCTGTCTGTCTGTATTTGTGAGGACCCTCCTAACCTACACCAGGGGGTTCATTTATCCAGCATGTTTGGAACGAGTTCTCGACGTGTGAATTGATTGTGCGAACAAGAACATCATTTGTATTTATAACAGTGATAAATCTGACCTGCTCCTTCATGTTCAGGCTCATTTACAAACATTACAGATGAACTTTCCTCCTCTGTCTCGTCTCCTGCAGAGATGCCTTCGTCTTGGCTCTGATCAACAGTGGAACCAGTTTCTTTGCTGGTTTCGTGGTGTTTTCTATTCTGGGCTTCATGGCTGCTGAACAGGGAGTCGACATCTCACAGGTTGCTGAATCAGGTAAAACACACACACACACACACACACACACACACACCAACTGTTTGCATGTGTACACAGTCACTGTTTTAAAGACGTTATGATTATTGATAGATAACACTGGCAGCTTCAGGTCTTCAGACCACAGAGTCTGACTGAGTCCCAGCTTCAAATCTTTGTCCCCACAGTGTGGTTAAAGGGCTGAATCAACACACGTTCACCTGGGGGGTTAAGTTAGGTTTGATGAACATCTATGAGCTCTGAGTTTTAGCACGCTTCAGTGTCAGTGTTTTTGGCCGCAGCAGCAGCTGCTCTCAGAGAAACAGCTGTCGAAGCCTCTGTCCTCTACCTACAGACACAGTCAGAGAGCAGCTAGTGACCATAGTTGAGCATTTAGTAGTCCAAGAGGAGCTGGTGGGGACCAAACACAGAGCTAAAAGAGAGGGAGCACTGCAGTTAAGCCCTTTTTACATCAAAATTAGTGGGTATAAACACAGGTAAACCCACTAAAAAAAGGGAATTGACTACTTTTACACAACCAGCCTAGTTTGCCTTGAGACACAAAAAACTACAGGGAACAATGTCATCACATGCACTAATGGAGCATACACACAGACCAAGCATCAACCTCAGAGGCTAAAAAATTAAGCCAAGGCTAAAGTGCTAAACATTGCAGTTCCTCTAATGACCACTAGAGTCTGGCTCCAAAAGTGAGTAAATCCCCAGAGACTCCCATGTTAATGTTAATGTCCAACTTTACAGCAGAACTAAACATGTTTACAGCCTGGTACAAAAAATTATTTCGGTGATTTTTTTTATAACTCACCTGTTTACATTTTATTAAGGCTTAAAGTTATACATATTTGAGGGTGTGGCTGCGGGTTGGTGTTTTGTATCGGAGCCTCCATGTGAGACGCTTCGATCGCTGATTGTGTGTTTTTGAAACTTATTTTGGGGCTGCAGCTCAGTGTAGTTAGGGCAGGTGACAGGTGTGTTCACAGTGTTTGTGCTCTGAAAGACAAAGACAAAAATTAGACCCAGGTGTTGTGTTTACATCACTACTGATTGGAGCCAAGCCGATAAATACTTGCATCTACTGCAGAGTCATGTGACCTGAGTGTGAATGCCAATCGCTCGCTTTTCCATTGCTGACAAAAGCCTGATGTTTTCAGGTCTTTGCAGATTTTATTGACCAGTGCAAAAGGGTCTATTTATATATTTATATATTTTATCATGTTGATCTGTAGCTGCTGGATGTGAAATAAGCAACAAGTTCAGCTGCTGCTGCTGGAATCGACACTGTGCGACTGAAGCAGATCAGAAAACAGATAAACACAGAGCTGAGAGTCACTGTAAAGCTCGGTGAAGATGAGAGGAGCTGCAGGTTCAGCTGATGATTCTCTGTAGGTGCATCACTGCCAGAGAGACCTTTCACATAAAACACTTTTTTCATACAGTTGGATTATGAACACGTCCATTTGTAATCACTTTAATTAAAGGATCTGGGGACTTGTTCCAGGTATGTTTAGTGAAACCAGCTTCACCTGCTGTCTGATGTTTTCATGTGAAGGACTGACTCAGGGCTGGTTTCAGTGTGTGTGTGTGTGTGTTGTGGTTTTATGTGTACACTCTTCAGCCAACTGTACATTTATTAATAGCCCTGAAGCACATGACATGACATCACAAACACACGGTTATATTTAGTCTCTCCACAGAAGGTAGCGTGCTGCAGCAGGCGGAGTGTCTCACTGTGGATTCACATTTCTCTCATGAATCCATTTCTGTTCCTGCTTCCTGAGCTGCGGCTCCACACCTTCATTCACAGAGACTGAGGGGTTATTATTATTTGCCCAGACGGAAATAGAGGATCCAGAACATCAGACTGTTGACTGAGGCCTGAAGGAGTTGACACACTACAGTGCTCAGCGAGCAAAAAACAGCATCAGTGTGCATGACTGAGAATAAATGTGTGTGTGTGTGTGTGTGTGTAAATGAAAATGACAGCAGTTACTTCAGTGTGAAGACATGAATCTTTTTATTTTAATCTTGCTGTAAAAACAACAAAAGCAAATCCAATTTATCCTGAATCCCGTCTGACACATTTAAAGTATTAGCATCAGTGTGTGTGTGTGTGTGTGTGTGTGTGTGTGTGTGTGTGTGTGTGTGTGTGTGTGTGTGTGTGTGTGTGTGCAGTATTAACTGTAGGATTATTTAACCAGGGCCTTTCACCTCATAACATGTGACTCATCTTTATTTCATGAGGCTCAGCTCTGAAACACTGAGGTGAGACACAAACAGAAACGTACAGTGAAGACAGACCTGCTGTAAAAGTATGCAACGCACCTTTGATCTGTTGACTCCACAAGCACAGGATAGAGAAGAAGAAAATCAAATCTACTGTTGCTGGCAGTTTACACCACAGTGTCCATCAGGATTCACAGTAAATTTGATGACCACAGCTGATTGGATGAGACACCTGTCAGTCAAAACCTCTTTAGAGGCTTAAAGGGCCAGTCTGTAAACTTTAAAACAGCTAAATAACAAATATATTTACACACATAATGGAAGGGTTTGATTTATGGATAAAAAAAACAAAAAACTAACAGGCCTGTTCAGTGTGACAACATATTTCTTACAGTCTATAAATCTGTGTGGTCACAAAACAATTAAAAACATATGTAAGTAAAACAGATATGTTTCTTACAAAATCATGTTTGTTCTGACACACTCTTTGGTTGAAGTGTTGTAATAAAAGGTTCAAATCATGTATTCATGAGTTAAACATTTATACAGACTGGTCCTGTGAGAGCAGTTCACTCCCCTTTGCATGTGTACATATGACAATAAAAACATTCAGTAGTTATATAAACATTAAAACTTACAAAACTACAAGTAAAGGAAAATGATAAACTGACAAAGGGTGAAAACAACGTGAAACAAAATCTAAACGATATGGGACAGAAATGTAGACGCTGCTAAACGATGATTCTACAAATCTTTACTTGGGAGTAAAATTAATACAGAGGAGTGTATAACATAGTAGTTAAACATTCAGTGTTGTAGTGGTATATTATAACATGTGTGTTGTGTGTATCTCTGTGTGTGTTTCAGGTCCAGGTCTGGCCTTCATCGCGTATCCGAAAGCGGTCAGTCTGATGCCGGTGGCTCCGCTCTGGGCGGCGCTCTTCTTCTTCATGCTGCTGTTGCTGGGACTGGACAGTCAGGTGACCAACACAACTTGTTCATTTCTATTAAACTCAACTTCCAGAGACTTGAAACTTGCTGCAGGGACAATGGTGTGTTCACTGAAGCCTTGATATTCAAACCTTCAGCTGCTAAAAGCCTTGCAGTGACAACATCTGTTGTCAGAACATCAAACCTAAAGAACAAACAGTCACCAACATGGACTGTGTTAATATGATCATGTTAACATGATGAGTTAAAGTGTCCTTGAATGCATCGGCAGCTGCAGACTGTTTTCATTTACATTATCATATGATTATCNCACTAAGTGGCAGAATAATGTCCTCTAATGTGGTCACCAGGCCCTTGTTGAGAAAAAGTTAGTATTGTGGTCTAGAGAACCCAAAATGTGACGTCCACATATGTGGACGCCAGGTCCTAGGAGGTTATAATGAAACCTAGAAAACTCAAAGTGACTAATGCTATGATAGATCATCTATTAGTAGTTGCACAATGGACTGATTATTTTTTTATGTATATGTTCATACAAATATTTGCTCGACTCATTCATTTAGATCTGTAAATTCATTATTTTATTCATTTATTTCAAATAATTCTGTGTGTGTGTGTGTGTGTGTGTGTGTGTGTGTGTGTGTGTGTGTGTGTGTGTGTGTGCGTGTGTGTGTGCTGCTGTAACATGTTGATCTCCCCCAGCAGATCAAGAAAGTCATATAATTATCTGCAGTGAGCTTCAGTTCAGTTTGTGTGGTGAATGCACACTCACTGTTTGTCTGTGTTTCTACCTCTCTCTCTTTCCCTCCAGTTTGTTGGGGTGGAGGGTTTTGTTACTGGAATTCTGGATCTGTTTCCTGGAAAATACTACCATCGCTACAAAAGGGAGATCGCTGTGGCAATATGCTGTTTACTATGCTTCATTATCGACCTCTCCATGGTGACGCAGGTCAGTTACAGACGGCCTGTTTTTGGTTAATATAATAAAACCTAAAGAAAAAAACTTTCTTCTCCCAACTTGCAGCAACTAAACTGCATAAAGAGGTGGAACAAGACAGTCACACTTCACCAGATGAATCACTTTATGCAACAGGAAATCAAACACTTTATCTTCTTATACACTAACTGAATGGTCTCTCTCTTTGCAGGGAGGAATGTATGTCTTCCAGTTGTTTGACTACTATTCGGCCAGTGGAATGACTCTGTTGTGGCAAGCATTCTGGGAATGCATAGTAGTTGCCTGGGTCTATGGTATGCAACATACACATACATTTGTGCACAAACACACATAGTGTAGTGTTCCACAGCCAAATACTGGCATGGTATGCCATAGGATACTATGTCAGCATAGTATCTGATCTCACAAGTGTATGAATTGTTATGTAACATGATGTGACAGTAAAGGTCACAGTTCAGTCTGTCAGTCTGTTTAAAGCACAGTGGAAACTGCTCATAGTGATCAACTGCCTGGGACATTATCATTCCTATACAAAATGTCATAAAAATGTCATAGTATACTAAGGCATAAAAACATCAAAAAATGTCATAGTATAGTAAGGCATTAATTATCATAAAAACATCATAGTATAGTAAGGCATAAAAAGTCATAAAAACGTCATAGTATAGTAAAGTTCAAAATGTCATAAAAATGACATAGTATAGTTAGGCATAAAAATGTAAAAAAATGTCATAGTATAGTAAGGCATAAAATGTAATAAAAATGACATAGTGTATTAAGACATAAATTTAAAAAAAAAATGTCATAGTATAGTAAAGCATAAAATATCAGAAAAACGTCATAGTATAGTAAAGCATAAAACGTCTTAAAAACGTCATATTATATCATGGCATAAAACGTCAAAAAACGTCATAGTATAGCAAGGCGTAAAATGTCACATCAATGTCAGTATAGTAAGGCATAAAAACGTGAAAAAACGTTATAGTATAGTATGGCATAAAAACTTTAAAAAATGTCATTGCATATTAACGCATTAAATGTCATAAAAACATCATAGTATAGTAAGGCATAACATTTGGTAGCATATTTATGCATACAAAGGTAAAAACGTCATGGTATAGCTAGATAAAAAAATGTCATATAAAATGTCATAGTATATAGTAAGGCATAAAAATGGGAAAAAATGTCATAGTATAGTAAGGCATAAAATATCAGAAAAACGTCATAGTATAGTTAAGCATAAAATGTCTTAAAAACATCATATTATAGTAAGACATAAAAGGTCAAAAAACGTCATAGGATAGCAAGGCGTAAAAACGTAAAAAAATGTCATTGCATATTAACACATTAAATGTCATAAAAACATCATAATATAGTAAGGCATAACATTTGGTAGCATAATTTTGCATACAAAGGTAAAAACGTCATGGTATAGCTCGATAAAAAAATGTCATTTAAAATGGCATAGTATAGTAAGGCATAAAAATGTGTAAAAATGTCATAGAATAGCCATAAAGTCATAAAAACATCATAGTATAGTAAGGCATAAAAAGTCGTAAAAAAAGTGATTGTATAATAAGGCATGAAAAGTAATAGTATAGTAAGGAATGAAAAGTAATAGTATAGTAAGGCATAAAAAGTAATAAAAACGTCATAGTATAGTAAGGCATGAAAATTCATAAAAACGTCATAGTATAGTAGGCATAAAAAGTTATAAAAACGACATAGTATAGTAAGGCATAAAAAGTCATAGTATAGTAAGGCATAAAAAGTCATAAAAACGACATAGTATAAATAAGGCATAAAAAGTCATAGTATAGAAAGGCATAAAAAGTCGTAAAAACTTCATAGTATAGTAAGGCATAAAAAGTCATAAAAACATCATAGTATAGTAAGGCATAAAAAGTCATAAAAACGACATTGTATAGTAAGGCATAAAAAGTCATAGTATAGTAAGGCATAAAAAGTCATAAAAACATCATAGTATAGTGAGGCATGAAAAGTCATAAAAACATCATATATAGTAAGGCATAAAAAGTCATGAAAACGACATAGTATAGTAAGGCATAAAAATGTCCTAGTATAGTAAGGCATAAAAAGTCATAAAAACATCATAGTATAGTAAGGCATGAAAAGTCATAAAAACGTCATAGTATAATAAGGCATAAAAAGTCATAAAAACGTCATAGTATAGTAAGGCATAAAAAGTCATAAAAACGTCATAGTATAGTAAGGCATAAAAAGTCATAAAAACGACATAGTATAGTAAGGCATAAAAAGTCATAATATAGTAAGGCATAAAAAGTCATAAAAACATCATAGTATAGTAAAGCATGAAAAGTCATAAAAACTTCATGTATAGTAAGGCATAAAAAGTCATAAAAACGACATAGTATAGTAAGGCATAAAAAGTCATAGTATAGTAAGGCATAAAAAGTTATAAAAACGTCAGAGTATAGTAAGGCATAAAAAGTTATAAAAACGACATAGTATAGTAAGTCATAAAAACGTCATAGTATAGTAAGGCATAAAAAGTCATAAAAACGTCATAGTATTGTAAGGCATAAAAAGTCATAGTATAGTAAGGCATAAAAAGT